CCTTACGAAAAAAGCTAAGTCGTTCTGCTGGTACACGCATTGTAGCGCAGTTATATCTTTGTTTCTGCTACTTCCACATGCGTTGTAGTGCCAGAGTCCTTGTGTTCTATCTGCGACCCTTTGAGGGACCACTGAGACATGAAGCCGTTCAGGATGCAGACATTACTGGTTTACCTTGTTGCTGGTTAAGACATGGTCCTGGTCAGAGGGATTCCAGGTTCTAACCGTCTGGTGCCACCGCTAAGTGTCATGGTGCAAATGTGCATACTTGCCCGAGAAGCCCAGTTAGCCACATGGCAGGGCTCTGTCTTTGGGCCCTACAGAGCCAAACCGACCATCGTCCAGCCGCCCGTGTGATACAGCAGCCTGTCTACAGGGTAGCGATAACCAAGGTTCCCGAATATCACAGCAGCAGAATATACCCCCCCATCTCAAATTATTAAAGCCCCCATACAACAGCCCTGTAAACCGCTTACAGAATCCCTACAGGAACCCTTGCAAGGAAGCCAAGGTAATCACTGCCCTAAACCCTAAACCCCTAAACCCTATACCCTAAAACCCTAAAACCCTAAACCCCTAAACCCTATACCCTAAACCCCTAAACCCTAAACCCTATATATACCCTAAACCCTAAACCCCTGAACTCTAAACCGCCCCTACATGGGGCAGCTGGGCTCCACGGGCTAATTCAGTCCATTGCAGGTTCGGCCACGTGCCAATTTGAAATTCGGCATCTTTTGGGAGGGCAGGGACATTCTGTTTCGGCCGCTTGAACAGAAAAGAAAGACTCCGGGCGTGAAGGCTTGGGGGTGTTTGGGATTTAGGGCGAAAGCTGCCTCTGGAAGTTTTTTGTTTTATCTAGTGTGATGGTATACATCGAAGGCATGGCTACACAGAGAAAGTGACCATCACTCTAATGCTGAGCCCTCGGACTGTGCCTATGATTTGGTATACATGTTGTCTTGCCAGACTCATTATTTGATATAGTCCACAGGTCGCTTCACTCCTGCACTCCACAATGCATCGCCTGAATGTGGAGGCAAGTTGCCCACGAAGGGATGTAGACAGTTGACGATGCCTTTGTGTTTGGGGATGTTGATAGGCTTCAGTGTGGGTGGGCAGGGTGCTCTGATTCTGAAAGCACAGAGCTTTTTTGTGAGTGGGCTTTACACGTCGCCGGTGTCGTAGAGCTTTCATATTCCGCCGGTAAGGCAAGGTCGTAGATGTGATGCTGGCTTGGTGCTTATGGTTTTGGTTAAACTATAGGACTAAACCGTTACGGCGCATGGTGCATGGCTCACAGGAGTTGAATGTGGAATTTCGTTTACGACCAGGGTATAGAACCCATAGAGAGTAGTAAGGCCTTCATAGCACCATTGCAAGCATCCCTATGAGACCCTTCTACATCCTGTCGACCTGATAAGCAGCCTCGTAGAACACACATACGATCCTGTGAGACCCTTGTAAGAGGGACCTTACCTTGAACTATCTGTTGCTGTCTCCCAGAAGCCATGCATTGCATGGGCCAAGGCCAGGGCTTCGCGGGGAAACTTCATGGCTTTGGGTTTTCCTCTTGTCGGGTACAGGGTTTGGGGGTTGGATGTTGATGTAATATAGAAGCCTTGTTATGTTCATACACTGCCTTCCAGGTTGCTTTAAGCACGAGGGCGAAGTCTCGTAGGTTTAGGCAAGTTTGAAAGGCACAATTAGACACCCAAACACGGAGACGGAGCTTTTGCGAGCCAACGGGGTCAAGCAGGGCGAGCAAGACGGCATCGGGCTGTTCATGCAGGGCCTGTCATCGGAACTTGTTAGAATGCCACGGGTGGTGATGGCAATAGCAAGTCAGTGGCTGTGAAATATATGCTGGTGCTGGTTGGTCTTGAGCTAGAATACTGAAGAAGCATGTCGCATGTTTCTAACGTAGCACCTGTCAGAGGTTGTGACTTCCGCGGACCGGAGCGTGAAATTGGCAGCTACACGTCACTTGTAAACTAACATTGCACTACGAAAACCAGTCCATGTATCTTTTCAGTCCGAGGGACACAGGCTTCCCAGTCACATGGCGGACTCTGTAAGCTGGAAGTACAGACATTGGTGTCTACAGATGAATTTGATCATACAGGTTTAGAGAATGTACAGGTCTGAAGCGCCACGCGGCTTGAACATGACGGACGGTTCGCTATGGTCGGTTGTCGATGTTAGTCTTACCCACGTCATGCCCGCAGCAACAAGGGTTGACCATTCTCACCACTCCGCTCACTTCTCTAGGACGAGGGCACCTCTCAGACGGAGGTAGGGCACAGAGTATGTAGATCGTGCTGCGTTGGATACCGAGCTCATCAAATGATACATCATCGGGGGCTCCCCAGGCATAACAGCGCCAAACCCCGGCCAGAAAAGCGAAATGCATGCTGCCGCCACAGGCTGATAGTCACCAGGTCGGTACTTTGCAAGCCTTTGTGGATCACAGCAGCGTGCCAGAGTCTCTGGAGCGACAATGGCTTTCTCCCGTGGCTGGGCTGCCTTGACGATCGTCCTAGCGGCCGCAGATCCCATACCTCCAACAGCCCCAGGTTGCGATGCTGGCTCGGATGTCTCAGGGTTGCTTCAGCACCAGAAGAGTCCTCCTTCCTCTTTGGCGCTGTCCAAGGGTGGCAAGCCTGAAAACATCGGTGACTACCCTGACCCTGACTCTTTGACCCGTCCTTTGGACCCGTCCAAGGTTGGCAAGCCTGGAAACATCGGTGACTACCCTGACCCTTACGGCAAGCCTGAAAACATCGGTGACTACCCTGACCCTTACGGCAAGCCTGGAAACATCGGTGACTACCCTGACCCTTACGGCAAGCCTGAAAACATCGGTGACTACCCTGACCCTTACTCTTTGACCCGTCCTTTGGACCCGTCCAAGGTTGGCAAGCCTGGAAACATCGGTGACTACCCTGACCCTTACTCTTTGACCCGTCCTTTGGACCCGTCCAAGGTTGGCAAGCCTGAAAACATCGGTGACTACCCTGACCCTTACTCTTTGACCCGTCCTTTGGACCCGTCCAAGGTTGGCAAGCCTGGAAACATCGGTGACTACCCTGACCCTTACTCTTTGACCCGTCCTTTGGACCCGTCCAAGGTTGGCAAGCCTGGAAACATCGGTGACTACCCTGACCCTTACTCTTTGACCCGTCCTTTGGACCCGTCCAAGGTTGGCAAGCCTGGAAACAAGGGTGGCAAGCCCGAAGACATTGGTGGCTCCTCCGACAAGTACGATCGCAGCGACAAATACGATCGAAGTGGCCCCTACGACAAATACGGCCCTTACGATTTGGATCCGCCCAAGAGCTCCGACGACAAATACTCCTCGGATGGTTACCGCCCTTCCGAGGGCTCCGACGACAAACACTCTTCGGATGCCCTTGGCCGTTACGGCCCTTCCGATTTGGATCCGCCCAAGGGCTCCGACGGCAAACACTCTTCGGATGCCCTTGGCCATTACGGCCCTTACGATTTGGATCCGCCCAAGGGCTCCGACGACAAACACTCTTCGGATGCCCTTGGCCGCTACGGCCCTTACGATTTGGATCCGCCCGAGGGCTCCGACGGCAAACACTCTTCGGATGCCCTTGGCCGTTACGGCCCTTACGCAATGGATCCGCCCGAGGGCTCCGACGGCAAACGCTCTTCGGATGCCCTTGGCCGTTACGGCCCTTACGATTTGGATCCGCCCGAGAGACCGGTGGTTTCTACGACCCTTACTATTCGGAGCCGTCCAAAAGGTGGCAAGACCGAAGACATCGGTGATCATGATGGCTATGATGTGCATGGCCAGGTGGATCTAGGCAAGCCTGGACAGGTCGGCGGACATGGTCGGGTAGATCCGTATTCCAAGGGCAAGCCTGAGAACGTCGGGGGTCATGGCCAAGTGGATCCATTTTCCGGGGACAAGCCTGGACACGTCGGTGGACACGGCTACGTGGATGCATATTCCAAGGGCAAGCCTGAAAACGTCGGTGGACATGGCCAGGTAGATCCGTTTTCCAAGAGCAAGGCTGAGAACATCGGGGGTCATGGCCCTTGACAATTTCGACCCATGCAGTGGTGGCACCACCGCAGGTTCTTGGTGATGAATCATCGCTGCCGCCTGAGTTCTGAGTGCCATTAAAGCGGCATCCATGGCTGCTGGTGGAAGGCTGGAAAAACCCGTTCGAGGATGCTAAGCCTGCAGTACCGGGACCCGTGTTGGTGGTGATGTCTTTGCCGTGCATGTGAAGTGAGTTTGAACACCTTTGACAAGTGTTCATCTTCAAGATTGTTCTGGTTTCTATGTGCTTTTGATATGGATGGCACAGCATCCTCAAAGCACGGTGAGCCCTTGACTCCGCTCCGAGAGAAGCAAAAACAGCTTAAGATCCCGGAGACTTCGCTCAAGAAGCGCCGAAAATCAAAGAACCGAAGCTGATCGGATGCAGCCTCTGTTTCCGGGAACCTGCAGAAGCTGCGCATGCGTAGCAAGTGAGAGAGCGAGACTACCTCTCTTCATTCCGACGTGTGTAGTATGACCTTCCGCCCTGAGGCCGAACTGCGATGATGTGTTCACTCCGTCGGCTTGAGGCACTGCCGCGCGAGGGTCTCATTTTGCTCTGGCTCACTCTCGCTCTCCCGGAATCCGGGGCTCCCTTCAGAATGATTCATGCCACACCGGGTTCCAATCGCAAGTCTTTAGTCGCAGACTTAGCACTGCGCACCGTAGACAAGCTCCCCCCAACGTTCAGTGCAGTCATGTGCACTTGATGGAGCTGCTTGCATCTTCGCTCAGAAGGTTTCCAAGAACTGAACTTGTTCTGAGCTTGCATGTAATTAATTATGTGGGTATGTGGGGACTAGTTGCTGGAGTACTGAAGACCTCCTAGTGTACAGACAAAAAACAGATAGAACAGGATCAGGTTTGCAGTTACGCAGAAGCGAGACTTTGCCTTTTGCCGATGTTCCGAACACAAATCAGGTCTGCTTTGCAGCCAGCACCAAAGCCTACTGCGCAGTCGAGTTGCGGATGTGACTTGCATGGCTCCTGTTCCGGGATCTTTGACCTAAACCCAGAACTCTCTGGACACCACCCGCACGACAAGCCAAGCAAGCCAAGCAGCCGAAAGTTTCGGGAAGCCCCCGCTGGTGCCGGTGAGCATCTCGTTTCACAATCCGGCGACAGTGGCCACACATGCAGCGAAATGCCCCCACGACGGTTATACTGCATTGCTCAGGGGGTATTTATTGGGTCCAGTGTGTCTTTGGCCATGACGTATATAGTTTGGAGATTGCAGGGACATGCGTTTCCGGACGGTTGAAAGGGCCGGGAAACCCTGGCATGAACTGTTGCCGGAACTTGATCTGATATAGGGGCCTTGAGAATTGCCTGAATTACTTAAAGTATTGTCGGGGTGCCTTATTACAGTTATAGTATAATGGGCCCCAAAACCCTATTCTAATTATTAAGGCCAGGCCTCTATGTTACATTCATCAAAGTCATACGTGAAGCCTGAAGCTCAGCTCTCCCCTACGCCGTGAACTTCCATGCTGGTCCTAGTGGCCCCTTCGCACTTGTTCAGAAGCCTGAGTTGTGTGTAGCCGGATTCTTGCAGTATTGCATTATTGTTGTTTAAAGTGATGTCTGCAGCCCACAAATGCGATGCTTCGGTGTCTTAGGATGTTGACAGGCTGCAGCATGGGGTGTATAGGGTAGCGTAGGGCTGGGTGCTTCCACACGGCTTCTCTGTTTGCGGGCCTTACATCGGAGGCCTAGAGCTTTCAAACGTCGCAGATGTGTTGCTGGATTGGTGTCGGCGTGGGTAGCTTTTCTAGTGAGTGATGCCGCAAGGGAAAGAACTTGAATGAAGAATTCGATGGCTTGGCTTCTGCAGGACGCTTGGCTCACAGTGTTGCAGGCTACCATTAGCGATTGGATGATTGAGCCAAGAAGGCTCCAATGAGCTTGCACCCGAAAAATCTAAACCTTGAGCTTGAGAAGCCCAAACCCGAAGCCTTTCAACAGCCTGTAAGGCCCAGACGAAATTCAGAAGTCCATCAACTCTACACCGAGTTTCATGGCCCCGATGCGTCATGGGAGACTCTCTTTCCACGCAGTCAGGGGCAGATGGGCTCCTCGGTTGCATTGGGCCCCTGCACTTACGGCGGTTCGGAGCGAGGCAGAAACTTACATTCGTGGGGATGGTCGGGTGGGGAGGTTTCGTGACGATCCTTCATTCGGTGTGACAATGGGAGGGAGAAAAGTTGAGTCTTAATTGTAGAGAGAGAGAAGGACCTTGAGGCTGAAGAGAAGCTGGAGGTGCAAGGTACCTTAGGGCAGAAACCAAAAGAAAAAACTTGAGCCTTACAAAAGCCCCGCACCCCCCCACCCCGAAGAAAGTCGCCGCATTTGTTCCCCAGGCACGGCTCACAGTTGCGGCCATGGAGGGACGATGCCAGCGCCGAGGCCCAAAGTGCGGCCAAGAACCTGATTCAGAAACCCTGGGCCTGTCACCCCCAAAATAGTAGGATGAGTGCATCATTCTTCAGTTCCCATGTTGCCCAACATACCTCATTTACGTAAGCAACTTTGCATCATATAAGGAACCCCAATAAAGGCTCAAGGTCTCTTAATCAGGTTCCTACTTGCTGAAAGGGCGAGGTTCACGATCGCTGGGTTGAAACATATACGCCCAAGGAGCTTCTGCGACCCGAAGCAGCGAGCAGAAACCTCCGCACACATCCCCTAACGCTCCATGTGCCCTTATAGTATATACTTAGTCCTTAAAGTACCTATATAGGGATCCCTTTAAGGCTTATGTGTCTACTATGATGGTACATGGAGCCTTTGGGATCACAAGCTTCGAAACCTGAACCCGAGTTCCAGGCTGTGTCCGAGTTGCGAGAGCGTAAACCCGAGTTCCACGAGTTTTGGTGCTGATTTGTAATTTCTTCCGGGGTCTGGTTGTACCGCCTAATTGGTCGATCTTTGTTGCATGGTTGTCCGCTAGCCGCCAGTACTGTTTTCCATTCCCTGCGCCGCTGTTGGAAGCTTCTCTAGGCAAGTGGGAGTTTCCGAAACAAAGGGGTACCTTATTTGGGGTCCTTGTAATAAGGACCCTACTATTTAGGGTACTATATTCGCCAAGGTGACTTGTGCATAGGACTCGCTCCTATCTGAGAGCGCACTGGGTATTTGCTTGGGTTAGTTGTGCTCGTCTTGCGAATGGGTTAAGTACTGTAGGGGAGCCTTAATATTTAGAATCGGTCTTGGGGTATATATCATACCATAACTACAATAAGGAACTCCCATAATTACAATAAGGAACCCCCAAAATTACAATGAGGAACCCCCAACACCCTAGTCTATCAAGGCCCGTACATGAAGGCGAGTTCGGCGGATCTTGCTCTCGGCACTTTGTACCTATGGAGCTTGTGCTGCTATGCGAATACGGGTTTCTCTTGGCCTTGCATGCAGGTTACAGCGGGGTTTCCTGCAGTGCGACCTGGTCATCTAAGCTGGTGGAAATATAGAAAGATACCCGAAAGCCGCATAGTGTCTTGTGATGTTGAAATAGCCTTTCTGCTGCATTTGCTCGGCCGTGCCTTGCTCCGCAAAGACACTTGTCGAGCTTCCCAAACGACTCTACCCTGATACTGCCCCGAAGCCTCAAACCCCGTTAGGACCCCAACTCCTCAAGCCCCAAGCATCCCTCAACTCCAAGCCCAATGTGGTCCCGACTGCGAACCGATAAAACCTCACCTGGCGAGTCCGAGTGTGAGAGCGCAAACCCGCAAAGGCCACCCCAAAGCCCGATGTCCTCAAACATCACTGCGTCTCAGGGGCTCTGGGGCGACGGATGCAGCTTGCCAAGTTCAGGTCGTCTCGACCGGAGGGGACGTGGAGTTGGGAGTTTCGATGATGTCGACGAAGTTAGGGACGAAGCTGAAGCATTGCTACTTGAAGTCTCAACACTGCTTTGGTTGGTGCTGGCGTTATCCCTTCTTTCTGCCTTTTAACATGGAGCGGCGGCCGTCAAGCAACTTCCAAGCTCTATAAAGCGACCACTAGCGTCTCAAAGTGCATCCTGCTACATGTGCCTGGCATGCTGCCAGTATACGGGCGGTCCAAAACTCAGCTTGTCAAGTTCGGGGGGTTTTGAGGTAGTCTTCTTCTGAAAGTTGGATCGTTTTCTGACATGGACATTTGGGAAATAAGGTACTGCCTAGGACGATCAGCACCAGGTGTATCGAAGAAGGAGACATAGAGCACTGAAGCGGGACGTGCCCCTGGAGAAGTTCAACAGGGGGGTACACTGAGATCTTCACGATTGTTCTGAATGCTGCAGCTTGTGAATTGGGTTCTCTGTTCTCTGCTGCAAATACTCGTGTGAAGTTCGATCCAAACATTGTACTACTCGATCTGGTGATGATATGAGGAAGATTGCTGCAATGTTTGCTGGCCCAGGGGCAGCAATAGCATTGTCATCCTACAAGACGCAGTTCCTCCTCTCATCCCAAACCCAAACCTGGGGCTCAGTGGTTCGAGTCGGACAGCTTGAGCCAACGACAGACTGCACCCTCGACTTCAGAGCTGTCAGACGTCCCAAAAGTACGTCACAATATCTGCTGCAGGAGGGTATCTCCTGCGGGATAGCATGCTTGCAATCAACATCATAATCAACCACCCATGAGGCTGAATCTCCAAGTCATGAAATCTCGAGAGAAGGCAGAGATTCGCCGCCTCGCAGGTCCTTCGAGAACCCGACCCCTCACGGTGCAGGAGATGGCGACGGCTTGTTTGACTGACTCACTTCTTGCGGCTTCTTAGATCGTACGCATGAACCTTTGCTTTCTGCTTGCACTGCTACCATGGTGTTGTTTGGAGATACTGCAAGAGCCATGCTGCCAGGGTCGTGGTTGCAAGGAGTTGTGATGTGCAATGATGTTGAGCTTCTGCACTTGCCATCTTGCTCGTGCGACTTTGCACTCGACGGAGGTTGCCACAACCGAAGGAATCTGCAAGCGCTGTGAGATGCGGTCTGTGCATACTTAGGG